GGGCAGGTGGCAGGGTGCGGTCAGGGTGACTTACCACAGTGGCCAGCTCCCTGTCCTCTGTGTTGTACGTGCAGGACGTGATGAGCACGTCTCCCTGGGGACCAAGCACCAGACACCGTTAGCACCTGCGCACCTGTGCTAACAGGTGCAGGAGCCCAGGCCCACCTGTGAGTGAGCCACCATGCCTGTGCGGGTGGTGTTGCTCGGCTACTGAGGAACCTCATGATGGTCCCTGCCCCGCCATGGTGGTCACAGCCTGAGTGTCCCCAGGGAGCTCTTGCCCAGCAGGCACCTGCCTGTTTGCACAGGAGCCACGGACAGCACTGGCACATCCAGCATCTGGCACCTCGGGCAAGCCCCCTCCGAGGCCCGAGGTTAGTCTGTAAGTCAGGGGTTCACCACTGCGCCTCTCTCCCCTCAAGCTCTCGGGTTCGTGTTGGACTGAGCAGACTGGGACATACGTCACCGCGTGCCCGCTCTAAGTCCCTTCCCTGCTGAGGTCTTCCCATAAGTCCCATGTATGTCACCACGAGGCAGCCCGTGGAGCCGGCCCCGCCCTGCAGGGACACGGTTCCTGCCGGAAGACCTCCGCGCTGCCTCTTGGTTTCGCTCTCTCCTGCGGGGACAGCCTCCCCGGCCCCCACTCTCCAGCCCCAGGGGGCCCCCTGCCTGGGCACTCACCGGGTGAACCGACACCACCTTCTTCAGCATGCGGATCTCCTGGGGTGCAGAAGGGGGCGGGAAGAAGAGAGCTCAGCTGCAGACCCACCTCCCCACCACTCTGACTTCCTCGTTTTTAGGCTTCCCTACCACCGGGCCCCCTCAACCCTCCTGGGGGTGCCCACAGCGTCCCGGCCTCTCTGGAACAACAAGTGTGGACCGAGAGCCACCACAGGCCGCCACTCCTCCAGTGCCACAGTCTGCCAGGTGCCCCCTTAGATGAAGCACCAAAGGGGAGGGCAGGCTGCCCTGTGCGTCCCCCCGGCCCCGGTGTCTGAGCCCTGCAGAGAGCAGGTCGGGAGACCCATGCGGTGCCCCAGCAGCCCTACCTGGAAGTGGGGACTGTAGTGATTGTCTCTGTTCACCACCTCCTTCTCGCGGCCGCCCCGGGCCAGCACAGTGACCACCTTCCGCCCCGTCAGGTGTGTGTGCAGCTGCGAGGCAAAGATGTGGATCCCCGAGGGCGGCAGCGCCTGGGGGCAGGGAGAGGCAGGTCGGAGGGGCTGGGGTGGGAGGCCCAAGCCGCTGTATTTCTTCACAAAGTCGAGGGAATCTACAAGGAGCTCAGGTGGCGCAGTGGTTAAGCAGTCGGCTGCTAAGCAAAAGGTTGGCAGTTGGACCCACCAGCAGCTCCGCAGGAGAAAGATGTGGCAGTCTGCTTCGTAAAGACTACAACCTTGGAAACCTTACGGGGAGTTCTACTCTGTCCTGTAGGGTCGCGATGAGTCAGAATTGACTGGATAGCAATGGGTTTGGTTTGGTTTTGGTTTTGAGAATATCTGGACTACGATGGACTTTTGACTGTAACGTGTCCACCCGTTGGTGACCCGCTAAAGGACAGCAAGACAAACAGTAGGCAGCCTCCTCAGCAGAATTTCACAGCAATGCACTTTTCAAGGTGGATTTTCTGTTTGAAGGGGAAGAAGAGTAAATTGAGTTCTTTTGATTTCGTCACTGGACAGTATTTGGAGACTCTGGTGAAGGACCACTGGCTGGGCTGGGCGCGTGGTCTCAAGGTCACCTGGGCCCACAATAGGCAGAGGTGCTGCCTGGCCTAGGGCCCCTTATCCCATTGAGCCCCGAGGGGTGACCCCCACCCAGCCCCACTCCCAGCCACGGAGTCTATTACACAGCAAGTGATTTCGCCAATGCGGGCTCTGGGGGCCTAGGAGGAGTATCAGCTGCCGGCTGTGCGTGTACGGCTTCTCTCCCCGGCTCTGACCAACAGAGCTGGTTTACTGCTTCTCGGCTTTGAGGAAACTTGGCTGCCTGACAGTCAGGAGCCTGGGAAGCTCAGGGAGGCCGCCTGAAGGCCAGATCCCAACACATCAATTGACCTGAGAGAGAATTCATTCTCAGCCTCAGCAGAGAGCAGCCCGCTGTCGGGGGCTTGGCTTTAGAGGTCGGGCAGGCCTGCGTTTGAAGCCTCACCCTGCAGCTGCTAGCACAGTGACTGTGCAGGCCTCAGTTGCTCGTCTGTGAAATGGGGACATTCACTCACGCCTCGCAGGCCATGGTGAGAAGCGAAGACACTGAGTGGGAGACAGTGTTTGGAGCATGCACAACAGACCACGAAAGAACATCCCTCATGTAAAAAGAACACCTGTTGTTGTTAGGTGCTGTCAAGTCAATTCTGACTCTTAGTGACCCTGTAGGAAGGAGTAGGACTGCCCCATAGGGTTTCCAAAGCTGTAATCTTTATAGGAGCAGATCGCCACATCTTTCTCCCACAGAGCAGCTGGTGGATTTGAACTGCCAACCTTTCGGTTAACAGCAGATGGCTTAACCACTGCGCAACCGGGTCTCCTTTGAAAAAGACGCCTGGAAACCAACAATAAAGAAGACGAAGAATCCGATGGAAAAACCACACGAAGGATGAGAACAGACACTCACAGAAAATGGCCAAGAAAACCTTACAGATAATCCGAGAAATTCAAATTAAACGACATCGACATCTTTTTCTCCCCAACGATTAAGCAGATATTTAACATGTGGATAATATGTTGCATTGGTGTGTGTGTGTTGCGGGGGACAGGGCACCCCCTTGTACTGTGTGTGGCAGAAGCATTGGGGTTGCTTTTTGGAGGGCATTTTGCAAGATGGACTACAGTTAAAGTTCGGGGCCTCTTTGCGCGGCAATTTCATTTTTAGAAATCTGCTCTAAAGGAACATTTCCCGGTGTGCCCACAGAGGCCTGCTTCCTCCTGAGGAGAAGCTGACAACAGGGGTTGCCCCCTGAGGGGCCTGGCTTGCCTCACACCTTCCTGGCCCTGGCTAAATGCCTAATGAAACCCTCGTCCTGTGGACCACTGCTTAGCAGCTAGAAGGCAGGTCACAGGACAGGTATACACTATTCATTTTCATAAAAAAGCACAATACAAAACTGTGTTTCCATCACATCTAAGGGCGTGTGAAGATACACGGGAGAAAAGTCTAGAAGGATATAAACCAACCAGTAGCTGTATACCCGGAGGTGGGGGTGGGGACTGCAGCTTCAGTAGGGGGACAGTGTGCTGTGGTCAAGGACAACTGTTCCTTGCATTGTGCCTGCATGTGACTGTGGATGGAGCCCTGGTGGCACAGTGGCTAAGAGCTCAGGCTGCTAAGTGAAAGGTCGGCAGTTCGAATCCACCAGCTGTTCCTTGGAAACCCTATGGGGCAGTTCTATTCTGTCCTGTCAGGTCGCTATGAGTCGGAATTGACTCGACGGCAATGGTTTTTGTTTGTTCTGGCGTTTCTGTTCTACTTACACAGTCAAAACACAGTTTACGAGGCAGTGCACGGACAGGGCTGGTCTGGGAAGCTCTGAGCAGTGACACAATTCTGTAGGACACGGAGGGGGACACAGGGCACGATGGTGGCTACACCACACAGAGCGACCCCTCGTGCGGACTGTGGGCTTCAGTTGGCAACGATGCATCATCGTAACCGATGACCCTCGCCATTGCCGGATGGGAGCCCTTGGGGGCGCAGTGGTTAAGAGCTTGGCTGCTAACCAACAAGTCTGCAGTTCGAATCCACCAGCCGCTCCTTGGAAACCCTGTGGGGCAGTTCTACTCTGTCCTCTAGGGTTGCTCTGGGTCAGAAGGGACTCAATGGCAGGGTTTACTGCCAGATGGTAGTAACGGGAGAGTGTGTGCAGTGGGGAGGGGCACACGGGAACTCTGCACTTTCAGCACAGTTTTTCTATAAACCTGAAATTGCTCTAATAAATAAAGTCCTTTTATTTAAAAAAAAAAAAAAAAAAAAAGCAGTGCCTGGAAGTGCTGGCATGCGGAGACTGAATAAGTGGGCACCACGGTCAGCCAGAGAGGTGGTGTCCATCCCAGGGGGCCGTAGAGCCGAAAGGCGCCCCTGGGTACAGAACAGGGGCAGGTCAGGTGTGAAGCAGCAGGGGTTTAGGGTCGGGGGCAAAGCCAAGCAAGCCCGCCGCCCTCCCCACGCTGCCGGCTACAATGCACAGCACAGAGCGGTCCCTAACAGCTCAGCCAGCCTCCTGGGCGCCAGGGCAGGGAGGGTGCGGCCAGGCCAGCCCACTCACCAGCTGGGTGCACTTATCCGTGCAGTAACCCGTGAGCACAAAGGTGGGCTCCCGTGGGGGGATGGCCATCACCGGCGTGTATACCAGCCCCAGCTCCATGATGCCCGCGTCGAAGCGCCGCAGCGAAGATGTGTAGTACAGGCGGATGCCAGAGGAGTCCCGCCGGCCTGCCGGAAAGATGCCGACGTGAGCAGAGGCCTCCCGCTGCCCCTGACAGGCTACCCCAGCTCACCCGCTTCGCCCCACCACCCTCAGCCAGTAGGAGGCGCTGGCGCCCCCACACCTGCTGCCACCTGCTGCCTGTCCCCACACGTGTTGACGCCAGGCAGACCTGCGCTGCTATCCGACATCACACAGTACACACGTGGGAAGAAAGAGCGGCTAAAAACTAGAAAAACCAGGCTGAGTGCTTAGGAGAGACATGATGAAGGCGGGTGATAACAACTCGTGCTGTGGAGTTCAGTGCGGCTCAGTTCCTGCTGCAGGTTTGGACCCGTAAACCTAGGATCCTGTGCTCAGATTGCTTTGAAAGTGGTTTTCCATCCTTCTTCCACGTTCATAGAAACCTAAGCTGCAGCTGGACCTGTTGCAGGATTCGTGAGGGTGTGGCCCGGGCAAAGAGGGGGCGTGGCCCTCCCATGGCCGGCTCACCTCGCAGGAAGCCTGGGCCCCACTGCAAAGGCCTGCAGATATGAGTGCATCTGTGTGTAAAGCTAAAACAGTTCCTGTAAGGCACACAGCCCTTTTACAGCACCCATTCTTACCCTTGATTGCCTTCTGCAGGATCGTGGCCGACCTGGAGCTCCTGTCCACAGTCTCTGGAAGCACCTGAGCAGGGAAGTGGACCACCTGGAGCAGGTTGGCCACTGAAGGTTTTGCCCCTGGCCCATGGTCCCAGCTTGGACAGCAGCATGCTGTGTGATCTCGGACATGTCAGTGTCCCTCTCGGGGTCTCAGCTCGCGGTCCAGAGGACTGGAGGTGGTCTCTAAAGCCTCACGTCCGAAGGAAAACTTGATGCTTCTGTCCATCACGGGTGGGGACTGCGCGATCCTCCCGCTGGTGGTCTGGCCTCACCTGCTCACTCCTCTTGCATCTTGCTGTTTCTAACCCTTCCAGCACCCCCCCACCACTCATCTGTCACTCTGTCCTACTGCGGTGGCTTGCGTGTTGCTGTGATGCTGGCAGCTAGGCCACCAGTATTTCGAATACCAGCAGGGTCATCCACAGTGGACAGGTTTCAGTGAAACTTCCAGACTAAGACAGACTAGGAAGAAAGACCTGGGGATCTACTTCTGACAATTAGCCCATGAAAACCCTATGGATCCCAACAGAACATAGTTTGACTTGCTTTGGGCAGGTCATCAGGAGGGATCCGTCACTGGAGAAGGACATCATGTTTGGTGAAGCAGAGGGCCAACAAGGGCGAGGGAGACCCTCAGTGAGATGGACTGACACAACAGCCACAATAAGGAACTCGAACATGCTGATGAGCCTGAGGATGACGGGGATGACGCGGGACCTCATGTACAGCAACGTTTCGCTCTGCTGTGCACGAGGGTGCCAGGAGTCAGACTTGACCCAACAGCGGTTTATGTATCAGTGTATCTTTCTATCTACCTATCTGTCTGTCTATCAATCATCTATCTATCTGTCTATTTACCTATCTGTCTGTCTATCATCTATTTGTCTATCCGTCTAGCTATCTACCTATCATCTGTCTACCTGTGTCTATCATCTAACTGTCTGTCTATCTACCTCTCTATCTATCATCTATCTGTCCATTTATCATCTGTCTATCTACCACCTGTCTGTCTGTCTATCTATCTATCATCTTGAGCCCCCAGGCAGCCTGCCAGCAGTCATCTGGACCTGGTGGTTAGTGACATGGGGGCTCTGGCGCCCACAGGAACATCCCCACAACCACATGGCCTCAGATGTCCCTGACCCCTGCCTGAAATGCCACTCTTCACGAGCCAGTCTGCAGTGGTGCCCTGAGCACGTCAGTGGGCTGGCCCATTGGGTGGCCTCTGGGGTGTCTAGAGGACTGGACGCAGGCCCACCCCTTGGAATGTCCGGGGAGATGGGCAGGCATGGCCTGTGTAAACGGAAGGGGCCTGGCACCTTTTAACTGCGTATGGGGAAGACATGGTAGGTGCCAAGTAACATGAAATTTGCAAGGGGCTTTAATTGACATGCACAGGTCTTCTGGTAAAGAGTCTGTGAAAAGAGTCCGGCAAAAAGTCCTGGGCACAGGAAAGAAATTGGCATGCCCAGAAAAGAGTCAGGGCAGACCCTGCAGCCTGGTGGTCAGGCAGCTGTGAGCTGGGAATGGTTTGATTGTCTCTGTGTCTTTCTGCCCTTTCACCTTCCCCCACGATGTACATGTATGCCCGTGTCATCAAACATGCCAGAAAAGAGTGGTACAGATCGTAATCCATGCCCTGGGTGCCAGAAATTGTTCACACACAACCCAGCACCTTCATGGAAATTCTGCTTGGTAAGAACCATTACCCCGATTTTACAGACAAGGAAACTGAGGCTCAAACCCCAGACGGACGACCTTGACCAACATCTCACATCTGGGAAGTGTCCAAGTTGGGTTCGAGCCCAGGGCTGGCTCACTGGGGCTCCGGGCACTGTTGGGGGCCCTGCCACCTCCCCACCCCTTTGTCTTAAGATAAACCAAGAACACCCTACTTCGCCTCCTACCTTCCTCCCTCCCTAACCCTGCTTTCCCACTTCCACATCCAAACTCAAACAGCTCCCGTATCTCTAGGCTGATTACTTCAGAGGATAATAATAAAAAGGGAGATGCAATTGGTTAAAATTCAGATGGGGATTAAATAATGAAATAATGGTAGAACCTCGTATATTTATAGAAAAGCAGCCCATCTCAAGATTTGTGAAGTGACAGGTGCATCCTTATATCTGGCAAAGGATCCATAAATACAGCCAAACCATCAGGGGAGACAGGCTTCCCTGATGCTTAAAGAGTTTTCAAAAATCCATTTGCTTTCAGGTTTTCAATGAGCAATAAATCCCATATCATGCTAAGGTTCAGCTGATTTATTCCCTTCTCTGTACAGGCAGCACAGAATTCCAGCGGTGGCACAAAGTATTACTTACGCAGCCGGGAAAAAATTACCAGCGACAGTTAATTGAGCACCTGCCCCTGGCCAGCCTCATGCTGGGGGTTTAGCTTTTCCCAGCTTCACCACAGCTGTGGGGAGGCAAGAAAATAAGGCAGGGGGCAGGTCCCTCACCCAAGGTACGCAGCTGCGGACGGGTGGGCTGGCACCCAGCCCGAAGTGATGGTCTTACCTGCCAAGCTATTTCTGCCTTTCACTTACACAGATGAAAACAAGTGTCATTAAAAAAAAAAAAAAAAAAAAGTGAGACAAGTCGTGTGACTATCTGATGGAAGATGCTGGGGTAACAGAAAGAAGGAAATAAATCCAGTTTCTCATACAGCCACACCTAGCCTCGCCATTCTAGACTGGCTCAGGCCCAGCGCGACCAGCTGCCCTTCTTAGTCCCTGCGCTGCAGCCGCGCTGGCCTGCCAGCTCCTGAACATGCCCTCTGCTCACCCACCCTTGTCTTTGCCCAGACTGTTCTTTCTACCTGGAATGCTGCACCTGGCAGATCCCTTTGTGAAAATCCGCCTCACCCTGCAAGGCCCACTGTAATCAGGAGCACTGCTGAGTGTCAACATGCTTATGAACTCAACGCCACTAAACAAACGAGAGCCAGCCCTCCAGCGCTGGGCAGACATCACTAATCAATCACAGCACTATGCACTCTCCTACTGGGCCCAGGCAACAGGGACCTCCTTGCATCCCTACTGGCCAATTAGAGGAGCCCCAGGAACAAGCCTATCTGCCATCCCTGGCACATACACATGTGGACAGAGAACCCATGTGCACACTCACACGTAATGCACACATTTGCTCTGATGTCACATGCTTTGGGACACACCCTGATCGGGCCAGGGCCCTGCCCTTCCCTGAGGACACCTGGGCCAGTGTCTCCCCAGGGTCAGGGCGGGAACATTAAAGAGGGTGTCAGGTGGGTCCCAGGTGGAGGCCACCACTGACCGAAATGCCAGGACCCCTGCTGGGTGCTCTGGTCCAGCCCAGCCTGCTGGGGGAGGGCAGAGCCACAGCTAGTGGGTGCTGGTATGTCACCCATCAGGGAGGGGCAGCTAGGGGTGAGAGGGTGGCTACTAGTCCGGGCAGCCTTGCAGAAGTTAGACTTCCAGAGGGACCGGTACCTGGGGCTCTGCTCCTGCCTGAGGTCTCTTCAACAGTCCTTGGCCTGTGATTAGCTCACCTGAAAGCCAGCCAACCAGCAATGACTATGACGAGGGAGCAGGACTGGGCAGTGTTTCGTTCTGGTGTACACAGATAGGGTCGCTACGAGTCGGAACCGACTCCACAGCACCTAACAACAAAGCTAGCCTACTGCTCCCGCCATCCCTTCAAAGTGAGGGGAGGGTGTGTGGGGAGTGGGTGGGCTGATCCCATTTCTAAGATGGTTTGTTACTGGAGAGGCAGGGTCGCAGCTTCGGAATCAGGCTGACCTTGCCGGGTTCAAGTTCAGCTTGACCATTACAGGCCTGCGTAGCCAAGGCCATGGAGCTGTAACAGAGCTAGACCTCTGGCTCCGAGTCCCTGTGGGCCTTGTGGCCATGGTGGGGTCCCATCACCTCCGAGTCTTAGTTTCTTCATCTGTAAAATGGGAGCGCAAGAAACCAGTGCCTAGCCTCGTCCTGGGCGGTGGCACCTTGGACAGCACTGTGTCCATGGCAGCCAGTATCCTGCTGACGAGGAAGGAGGCGTGTGGGGGTGCTGAGTCCCCAGTGGGTGCCAGGCGCTGGGATATGGCCCCTGGGAGCTCACCGTGGTCAGGGAAGACCGATCAAGGGCAAGTATATGAGAGGCATGACCAGAGCTAATGGGGTCAGACACACAGAGGCTCAGACAGACGCCAGGTCCAAAGATTTTGCCGACTGGACACAGCCTCGCCAGAGGGTGTCCCGAGGGAAAGGACTGGCTGGGGACTGGAAAAGCTCCCTGGGAGCCCACCTACCTTGGATCTTCAGAGGGTTGTGGTAGTGAACCTCTAGGCGGAGGAATCTGGAGGAGCCAGGGCCCCCGAAGGCCAGGCCAGCCTCCTCGGGGTAATAAAATGCCTGCGGGGTGGAGGGAGGAGTCAGGCTGGGGGTGCCCAGCCCAGGCAGACCGACCAGTATGTGAGGAGAGGGGGCCCCACCGGTCAGCCAGCCCACCCCACTGCTCAGGCACAGGGCGGTGCTGGGGGGCAGGTCGGATGAGAAGATCACTCCCACCCACACAGGTGTCGGGAATAGGGAGCGGAGCCCCAGGACCACTCCTGACTCCTGCGCCCCCACTGCCTGCCCACTCCACCCTTCACTGGGCTACTGAAGGAGAGCTGAGGAAACCCCCATGGGACTGGCCCGACCACTCAGCCTGGGGCCACCCTGTGCCCCCAACCCTGCCAGCCCAGCAAGGACGCTAGACTAACGCCCATGAAATTCATGAGCTCCTGGGGCATTGGTGTTTTTATAGAAAAGCAGCAACAGCTGGGAAAAGAACGGGGAGGGGGTTTCAGGCAGGGTCCAGGCAAGCGGGGAGTCACCGGGCCCTTTCTAGCAGGAGGCCCTTCCCAGCTCCTCAAGCTGAGCAGTCAGGGAAACGGGTAAGGGGTTGGGGGCCCCAGAGAAGCCGGCGGCCGCACCTTGGCACCCAGGGCCCAGGCGGCCAGCACGTGGCGGCAGTAGTTGAGCCGTTCCGGCTTCATCTTGGAGTCACAGGGCCCGTTGAAGCGGGGGAAGCTCTCGAACTCGGCGGCACACTGGAAGACCTCCATGTGGTGGACCAGGGCCTCGTTGCCCGTGGTGACGATGGGCTCGTACTGCAAAGAGGGCGCCCACTGAGCCCGGGGCCCTGACACCTACCCACCTGCCCTGCCCCACCCGCACTGCGGGGGCTCAAGTCTGGCAACTCCCCCTCCCTGGCCTTGGTTTGCCCATCTGTTAAATGGGAGGGTTGGCGAGGCCATCTCCAGGGGCACTTCCAGGGCTCGGTGCTCTGAGGGTTGAGCCACCCATCAGGAACTGGGTGGAATCTGCCAGAACGCCACAAGAGCTCCTGAGTGAAGAAATTGAGGAGCCGGACCGGCCACTTCCGGACACGGTGGGGATAGGAAGGCACTGTCCTCCTGTGAATGGCGCAGGGGCGGGGCAAGGACATGGGTCTGCAGCTCCACCGGGGAGGCGGGGGCCCAGAACTCAGAGCACTGAGGGTGCGGGCATGGCTGCGAGTCCCGCCCGGCCACCCCCCCCGCAGCGCGGCAATGGCACGCCACGTGGCCTCGACTGGGCACTAGTGTGGCCCAGCAGTTGGATGATCCACCTGCCCCTTCCCCCTGGGCCAGGTGAGGAGTCAACACTCGACAGCCATTAACATCTACCGCTATCCCCAGGGGTATTTACAACAAGGGAGTTCTGAGTGGAGCTGGTTTTGCATGAAGGGGGGAAGGTGGCCTGACAGACAGACAGACAGACAGCCCCAAGGGAAGACGGAGACATTAAGCCATCAGCTGCTTTGGTCCAGGTCGAGCACATTTGGAGGGTGGGGGAGACGGTAGGGGGCAGGGACCAGAGAGGAATTGTGGCAGCCGGGGTGGGGGGGGGGGAGGTGGGTCAGGCGGGAAGGCCAGTGTCAAAGGCTTGGGGCTGTCATGGATTGAATTGTGTCCCCCCAAAATGCGTGTCAACTTGGCTAGGTTATGATTCCTAGTATTGTGTGATTGTCCACCATTTTGTCTCCTGATGTGATTTTCTTATGTGTTGTAAATCCTACCTCTATGATGTTAATGAGATGGGATTAGCAGTAGTGATGTAGACTCAATCTGCAAGATTAATCTACAATTTAAGCCAATCTCTTTTGAGATATAAAAGAGAGAAGCAAGCAGAGAGACAGGGGAACCTCACATCACCAAGAAAGCAGCTGAGAGCACAGTGCGTCCTTTGGACCTTGGGTTTCTGTGGAGAGAAGCTCCTAGACCAGGGGAAGATTGATGACAAGGACCTTCCCCCAGAACCAACAGACAGAGAAAGCCTTCCCCTAGAGCTGGCATCCTGAATTTGGACTTCCGGCCTCCTAAACTGTGAGAGAATAAACTTCTGTTTCTTAAAGCCATCCACTTCTGGTGGTACTCTGTCATAGCCGCGCTAGCTGACTAAGGCAGGCGCTAGGAGTACGCCTGTTTCATCAGCACCAAGGACAGAGTCCAGGGCCCCAGGCCACTTCTCTCCATGGTCCCCGGAAGGTCCTGCCCTCACAGGCCAGCCCAAGTGGCAGGTGGACCAGAGCCCCCTATCCCCCTATTGTGGATTGAATTGTGTCCCCCAAAAGTATTTGTTGTGAATCCTAACCTTTATATCTGTGGTTATAATCCCATTTGGGAATGGGCTGTCTTTGTTATGCTAATGGGGCAGGATTAGTGTAGGGTGTGTTTTGAGTCAATCTTACAAGCTATGAAAGGAGCAGATTAAGCAAGCAGAGATGGAGGAAGAGAGATGCCACACCCCAAGAAGATCTCCAAGGAACCAAGGCATAGCAAGCTTCCTCCAGAGCCAACAGAGAGAAAAAGCCTTCCCCTAGAGCTGGTGCCCTGAAGTCGCACTTCTAGCCTCCTAAACTGTGAGAGAATAAAGTTCTGTTTGTTAAAGCCACCCACTTGCAGTATTTGTTTACAGCAGCATTGGATAGCTAAGACATTCTTCACCCGCATACCATGACAATGTGGTGCCTTGAGAAGCCGGCCGGGAGCTCAATGATGTAGCACCAGTATGTGGTCTCCTGACCGGGGATGAGGATGTCGGGGCTGCGGACTTCCATGGTGCTCAGGTCATCGGGCAGCACAGGCACTGAGATGTTGGGCTTCAGTAGCTGCACCCTCTGCAGCCCCGTCTGCAGGCCCGATGTGTTGATGGCCTCCAGCGACGGGATCGGCTGCTCCAGGATCCCGTACACCAGGTGCACTGTGCCATCCTGCAGTGAGACAGGGCCCAGTCACCCACTTGCCCACACCCCTATGTGGCAGGGCTCCTCGGCAATCGGAGGGGCACCCTGGCCCTGCCTACCCGAACCTAGCACGCCTGCCCCTGTCTCTGCCAAAGAGGGGCTCTCTGAGGCTCAGTGTGAATGGGGCGGGGTCAAACCCCTGGCGGACCACGCCAGAACACACTGTTGGCAACAGGTATTAAGTGCATTTTGTCTTTCAAAATACAGTCTATCTGCAACCACTTAACATGCTCTCCACCAGCATCCACTCCACTTTATATCCACTCCACCAGCACCCACTCCACTTTACATCCACTCTACCAGCATCCACTCCACTTTACATTCACTCGTCTTTACATCCACTCGACTTTACATCCGCTCCACTTTACATCCACTCCACCAGCATCCACTCCACTTTACATCCACTCTACCAGCATCCACTCGACTTTACATCCACTCGACTTTACATCCACTCCACCAGCACCCACTCCACTTAACATCCACTCCACTTAACATCCAGTCCACCAGCACTCATTCCAGTAGCATTCATTCTACTTAGTATTTATTCCACTAGTGACTCCTGGGCCCCCTGGGAGCTGGCCCACCTGTGACATTTGGCCCAGCCACCAAACCCAGGGCCCTGTGGACAGAGTGTGGGCTGTCTCCTCTGCTCAGGACAGCACCCAGAATAGGGAGTCGGTACCCACTTATGCACTGAAAAAACCAGCCAGGCACTACCCTAAGTGCAAGAGCTATCCCGCCCAGCCTACCCTGTCTTGGGCACGTGGGGCCACCGCCCACCTCAATGAAGTAATCCTTGGGGTCACAGGTGCCAAAGGACCTCTTGAAGAGCAGGTATAGGCCTTCCGGCGTCTTCTGTGCCCGCAGCAACTGGTAATCCTGCTGGGAATCCAGGTGGATCTGCCCTTTCTGGTCACTCCAGGCATCCTGCAGAGAAGAGGTGGCTGGGGCAGGGGGCAGGGTGCAGCCTGCAGCCCCTCTGGGGAGCTCCACCTCATCTGCTACAGCCTGCCCTTGGGATCTCACTGGCTTGCTGGGACTGCTCGGCCTCACTCCCTGTGAGTCAAGGTCTGTGCCTGGGTTGGGGGTTGCTTCACTTTCTGTGTCTGGTCTGTCTGGGGGCAGCGAGGCAAGTTCTAATCCTTGCTTACTTACTCCACTGCCTTGAGCAGGGATCTCACCCTGCAGTCCGGACAGCCACCTGAGACTCACAGGCACTTGCCAGCAATGCAGACTTCCAGGCCTCTAGGGCGGCACCCAGGAATCTGTATTGCTGAGAAGCTGCCATGCTTGGGAAGCAGGGCCTTAGACGCACAGGGGTCACTTTTCCAGGGAGGAGCCGTGGCAGGGGTGGGGGAAGACAGAGACAAGGCCGACTTGGGTGAGCGAGAGGCATTCAAGGGTGGAGTTTAAGGTGGCGCTCACAGTCGGGTGCCGACCCTGTCCCTACTGACCCTAAGAGTGGTCACCACCTTCAAGAGTGCACCCTGGATGCCTTGCTCACCTCACCCCTGTCCCTGCCGTGCTTTGGGATGGGTAAACAGAGGCCCAGGGGGAAAGCAGGCCGCTGCACTTTCCAGGCCCTTCATAGGTAGCAGGTCCAAATTGGAAGCAGGATCCCTGACTCCGGCCCCGCCCTCCCCCCAGCTGCTTCCCCTGCATTGGCCTCTCTGGCCCCAATGACTCAGGGACAGAAGTCTCCCTGGGAGACCCTCCCCCACAGCCAGGCCCATCCGCCTTAGAAGCACTACAGGCCCTTTTCTTAAGGATTTTTTAAAATTATTATTCCCATATAAAAATTTATACTTACATTGTTAGGTGACCCTAATTGCTCTCCCCATACTGCGACAGCACACTCCTCCTTTCCACCCCTGATTCCCGATGTCCATTTAACCAGCCTTCCCATCTCCCCTCCGGACAGAAGCTGCCCCTTTGGTCTCTTGTATCTACTTGAGCTAAGAGGCAACTCCTGACAAGTATCACTTTATGTCCCACAGTCCAGTCCAATCCCTTTCTGAAGAGTTGGCCTCAGAAATTGTTTTAGTTCTGGGCTCATAGAGAATCCGGGAGCCATGCTTTCTGGGGTTCCTCCAGTCTCAGTCAGACTATTAAGTCTGGTCTTCTTACTAGAATTTGAGTTCTGCACCCCACCGTTCTTCTGCTCCATCAGGGACTCCCTGTTGTGTTCCCTGTCAGGGAAGTCATTGGTGGTAGCCGCGTACCATCTAGTTCTTCTGGTCTCAGGCTGTTGAAGTCTCTGGTTTATGTGGCCCTTTCTGTCTCTTGGGCTAATACTTTCCTTGTGTCTTTGGTGTTCTTCATTCTCCTTTACAACAGGTGGTTGGGACCAATTGATGTATCTTAGATGGGTGCTTGCAAGCTTTTAAGACCTCAGACGTCACTCACTGAAGCAGGATGCAGAACATTTTCTTAATAAGCTTTGTTATGCCAGTTGACCTAGATGTCCCCTGAAAGCATGGTCCCCAGACCCCGACCCCCGCTACTCTGTCCCTCAAAGTGTTTGTTTGTATTCAGGAAACTTTTTAGCTTAGGTTTAGTCCGGTTGTGCTGACTTCCCCTGTAGTGTGTGCTGTCCTTCCCTTCACCTAACATAACTCTTACCTGCTATCTAGTTAGTAAATAACCCTCCCTCTCCCTCCCCATCCTCGTTCCAAAAAAGAATGTTTTCTTCTGTGTTTAAACTCTTAAGGGGTTTTTTGTTTTGTTTTAATCTTATATCTGGGGCTAAAACGTGTTTTCTTCACATTCTCGAGAAAAAAGAAACCTGTGAAAGATTTTGCAAAACGTCCCCTGGAGAAAAGCAGCACCCTGAGCCCTGGTGGGGATAAGCTGGTTTGCAGGACGGATTTTAAACGTGGGCAAATTGTTAGCTGGGAGGCTTTTGCTGGAAATCGAGGCCGGGTTTGTGGGACATACTGCTGGAGGAGGAAAGCCAGTCCGACATTTATTTCATACGAATTTTATGCAAATTAATCTAGCAGTGTTCTGGACCGAGAAGGCTCCCCTGGTCCCTCAGCAGCCAGGAAAGCCAGAGGGGGACCGGCGGTTCCAGAGAGGCCCAAAGACATGGTATTCAGGAACCTCTAGCTGACAAAGACCCCAGACTGTGAGTTATGGGGCCTCGGCTGCTCCACCAGGGACTGCGTGGGACTGCCCTCTACCATGGGCCCTCCCTGGGCGGCTCCTTCTCATTCTGCCCAGGAGGCCCTAAGCCAATGGCTTCAGAGGGGTTCAGTCCAGTTCAACCCCCTGCTGAGAATCTGCACATCCTCCCCAGAGACACTGAATCACAATCTGCATTTTAACTAGATCCCCAGATGATTCTCATGTCTAATAAATTTTGAGAACCACTGCTCTACTAGTAGAGCCCTGGTGGCGCAGTGGTTAAGAGCTCGGCTGCTAACCAAAAGCTCAGCAGTTCGAATCCACTAGCTGCTCCTAGGAAACCCTGTGGAGCAGTTCTACTCTGTCCTATAGGGTCGCTGTGAGTCGGAATTGACTTGATGGCAACGGATTAGGTTTCGTTTTGTCTTTTTTTTGCTCTACCCGGTCGTTCTCAGAATTGGTCCCTAACCAGCAGCATTAGCATCGCCTGGGAACTTGTTAGAAACGCAAATTCTCAGCAGGGTTTCCAACCGAAACAAATGGTTCAAAGCCCTGCCCGGCCCAGCCTCAGTGCCTCACCTGCGGAACCCTCATGGGGATTGGATGGGACATGGCCAGTTCTAGAAATATCCGCCATGATCAGCTCATGTGGCCTCACAACAGACCAAACAGTGGAGACGGGTTATTGTCCTCACTCCCCAGAGGCGGGAGCCGAGGCCTGGAGTGGGAGCTGACCGCTCAGGGCACACTGGCCTCTCCCGACCTCTCGCTCCTGCCAGATCCCACTTCCTGGGGGTAAGACTCCTCCGCTCCAGCTCGGCAGACGCCTCCTGACACTGTAAACCCTCCTGCTGTCTGTTTCCATGGGGAGAGTTGGGTTTATCCCTGACTCATGGCAGGGGGGCACTCCTTCTCCGGTGACCTCCCTCCAGCTAGTTGACGGCCCCAAAGTCCCCCCCAGTTTGAAGATAACCTTCCCTTTCTCCACTGCGGAGTGGAGCTCACAGAGTGGAGGACAGTCTGTAGGGACAGTCACAAGCTTATCCTCACCAGTGAGCTCCGAGGAGCACGCCTTGACCCACACCTTGGGGCGTCCCTGTTGGGTTCCCCCACAGTGCGAGCACGAGAAGGCCTGTGAGGGTCGGACCTGCAATGCGGCAGGCTCTGAGCCCTCGTTGGAGGGTGTGGGTGACTGGGGGTGCACCACGGGTGCTTTGTGTGTGTGTGAGCGGAGGGGGTGGGCTGGCGCTGGGTGGGGAACTCAGTGGCATGTTGTGTGGGTGCGTGTCCTTCGTAGGAGGCGTGCTCCTGGGTACACTGGGCCCCAGGTGCCAGTACAGTAACTCGGGGTGCACAGTTGAGGGCCGTGGAAGTGTGTGTTCCCGTCTGCCCTCCCATCAGCCCCCCGAGGTGCCAAGACTGGGATGAAGTCCAAGGCACGTAGCCCACTGAGAGCAAGGCGAAAGAACTCCTTGGGGGCTCAGGGGGGTTGGTGTGGAAGGAAGGTCAGGTGGGTGCTGGCCAGGGGCAAGGTGAGGGGAAGGGGGAGGCTCACCCCGAAATAGGCTCTGTCCCCATCAGTCCAGAGCACGACGAGGTCGGCGTTCTCCAGCTGGCCGCGGTCGGACATGCCGAACAGCACGCCAGCTCTGAGGTCCCGCACCAGGAGCTGGAAGTGGATGGCTTCCTGGGCGTAGCTGACATTCCAAGACAGCTCCAGGGTCCCCTCGGGGTCCAGGGGGATACGGTAGGGGAAGGGGTTCTCGGGGGGCGCCGAACCCTGCAGCGCAGCCACCAGGATGACTAGGAAGACGGCCACTGCAGTGCCGTACATGGAGGCCGCCTCGCGCGCGGTGGGGCTGGGGAGGCTGCGCCATCTCCGCTGGTGGCTGGGGGCCTGCATGCTGGCGTGCGCTTGGCGGCCGCACCTGGACATTTATGCCCTGGCCCCTCTGGGGGTGGGCCCGGGCTGCTCCGGTAATCACATTTGTCTGGTGGGCAATTCAATTGTCCACTGCCCCTCCCACCAGCCCATGCCCCAGGCCAAACCCTCTACTCCCTCCCTCCCCTAATTGGCACTAATGACGTATGGACATCATCAATGGGAATCGAGGCTGCCGCCTCCCCGTCCCTCCGGCCCCTGAGGAACTGTCCGGGAAGCAGCCCCCTGCCCACCAGCCTGTCACCATCCCCTGTGGGTGCCACTCACCCAGCCTCTCTGGCTCGGCCGGCTAGGGATTGCCACCCATGCACGGATGAGGAGACTGAGGCCGAGAGGGGACACTATTGAGGTGACCCGTGAGTGCGGGGCTCCCAGATGCTGTGGACCTGAATCCAGCAGTCGTTTCTACAATGACGGGGGCTGGGGGTGGGGGGAGGGTGGACAAATTTCAAACTAAAAATAAAAGACAGTCCCCAAATAGGCCCTGTGGTTAGACCCTCTCTCCACGGCCTGCTGCTTCCCACTTTGTCTCCTTTCTGTTTCCCCACAGGCTCCAGCTGGTGGCCACGGCTGCTCCAGAAGGCGGGGGCGCGTTGCTGCGGGATGGGGGTGCACTGTGGGGTGGCTGAGGAGAGTGCAGGTGCACTACTGGGGGGTAGGCTGTGTGGTGCATTGTGGGAGACAGACTGCATGGGTACATGCTGGGGAGCAGATTGCGGGGTGCATTACTGGGGGGATAGCTGCAGGGTATGTTTCTGGGAGGACAGGCTGCAGGGTGCATTACTGGGGGGACAACTGCAGGGTACATTGCTGCAGGGGTGGGGGGCAGACTGCGCGGTGACTTACTGGGGGGTGCTGGATAAAGACTGCAGGGTGCATCACTGGGGGTGCATTGTTGGGGCATCATTGGGAGGCCTTGAGAAGACCTGGCCTTAATCTGAACCCTGCTAGGCCAACCTTCCTCCAATCTGGCTCCAATCACTCACACCTGGATCCAGAGCCGGCGGAGACAGACATGGAAGGGAGCCTCTGGGGCACATCTGATAGCAAAAGCCAGGTGCTGCTGTGAAGCAGGGTTACCATGCCCAGCTCAGGGCAAGACCCTCCAGGCAGCCCCAGGACCAACAGCCTCCAGCTAGAAAGCAGGCAGAGGAGCTCCAGTGGCACTGAGGCCTCGGGGTCCTGCCTCTGTCATGCCTCTCCCAAGCGGCCAGAGAGTTGGGTTTGAATCTGCTCTGCCCCAGCCGAGCGCCCCACTGGGTCTGCTCAGAAAAGCACATTCCAACCCAGGGCCCCGTCCCATCTAGAGGTGAGGGGGTGGGGCGGCAAAGATCACTTATCCCAGCGGCCGCTGTCACCCGAGGGTCTGGGAGGGAGAGGCAGTGAGGCCCAAAAGACAGGGGTCTGAGTTCCATCAGAGCCTGGGCTGGAAAGCAGATGACCACACAGCCTCCCTGGGAACACGGGCAGGTATCAGGGGCTGCTCCAAGCTCGGAGGGAACCATGCGGGCCTTTAGCAAACACCAGAGCACTTTGTACACATGTTTATTTTTAACTGGATTCAAAACACAATCTCTTTCTGCAGCTCAGAGCTGGCTGGCCTTCCTCTCACATTTGACAAAAATGAGTCGGCTGATTTCAGAACAGAAATGACCAGGTACTAGTGATTAGCAGGAGAGCCCGTCGGGGCCAACACGGGTCTGCCTCTCCTCTGCCCTTCACGCATGCGGAATGAAGTCCCAGAGGGGCCGAGCAGCGTTCCCGAGGTCACACAGCACTGGGGGCTGAGCAGGCCGGCACCTCGTCCAGGGTTCCAGATCACGCTCTCAGGCAGGGGAGGCAGTACAGGAAGCCAAGGCCAGGGAAACTGCACCTGGTCAGGGCTAAGGGCCGCACTGCCCGCAGGAAGCTGCAGCGACTCTGCCGGGTGGGTGGGAAGGCGCGGCTCCAATCGCTGCTCTCCGCCGTATTGTGCCTCTCTTTGCAGTAACAGATTTTAAAAATGAGCAATCCGACCCCAGGTAAAAACCCAGTGCTCAGCGGTCCTCTTGCCCTCGCCCACATCGGGCACGCATGCCTGCCCCTGTGTCCTCTCGGAGCCTCGTGGCCGGCCGGCGGAAGTGCTGAGCCGGCCAGACCCCACTCAGAGCCTGAGTCTGGGGTGGAATGGGGTGGGGTGAGGTGGGGTGAGGTGGGTTGAGGGGGGTGGGGTGG